TGAACAATTAATTTTCATGCTTCTGAAATTGTTTTGTGATGCCACTCGTCTTAGTGTGTACAATGCAACTGAAGAATCTGAAAGTATTGGCTGGGAACCAGTGGTGGGTTTCAAAAATTTTTGGAACCTCTTCTGTAGGTATGGCCTGCTTTCCAGGTCCACTGGTGGAACCTCTTCTAACCAGTTTGGTAGATTTGACAAACCAGTTCTACAGAACTGGTGCGAACCGGTAGGAACCCACCTCTGCTGGGAACAGATATAATTTTCAACTGGAAGCAAAAAGATTGTGTGATATAGAAGATACTGTGAAGATACTGTGGTTTATCTTCAGTGGTTATATATGACTACTACTGCTTGACTACTTTTTGGAAGAGGTTACTTTAAAAGAAGTTTACAATAAATAAGACCCCCCCCCAATTAATTTGTATATTATACAGAAGAAAATGAGCTGGAATAAACTTATTTCACTAAATTATAGTAAAATATAATGAGAAAACTAGAGTATTTTTTCTTTCTTTCCAACAGTAATGTTACAGAAGAAGTTGATAAATACAAGCTGCATATTGTCCAACTACAGGAAATAATAGAATCTAAAAACAAGGCCCTTGAAACATTGGAAAGTACTCTTCATCTGAAAGAAACTATGCTGTCTTCACAAACTGAAGAACTGAATGGAAAGTGCAAAGTACTTGAGGAGCAGAAAGGTAACTGCAAAAATATAGTTTGCATGCATATTACTGTTCAACAAAATAAACCATTTGTTAGGATTTAGAATCTATTTCTAAGCTTGGCTGCAAAATATTTTCTTTCTTCCCATCATGACAAATGAAAATCAAAATGGCCTTATTATTAGATGAAAGGATTACTAGATAGAAATGTCTGATCCCCAGGCAAATTACTACCTTGAGGGCAATACTTTTCTGCTTTAACTGGATTGCACACTAATATAGATTATGGCAGGAATATATGTCAGAAGATTTGTTTTAGTGCTGACTTCAGAGTTGCTTCATCCCAACTCCCACAGTGCAGTGGGCTGGTTTCTATGTTAATTGGAACATTAGAAAGGGATTTAAGGAAAATGTGTTTACTTGTGCTCTTGGAATATATTAAGCAACATATAGTTAGGTGCTTAAAGTACTATTCAACAATATTGAAAAGTTGTAACATGAGCTTTTATCATGTTACAGTAGTTAATGAAATGGTTTCTATATTTATTTATTAAGGGAATCAGATCATCAGTTTTTATAGACTAAAGATGGAACCCATTAGCTTTGTTATACCTTGATTACTAAATATTTGTCCTTTCTATTGGCTCTGTTTAGCATCACATAAAACTTTCTTCTACCTGCATCTTTCCATAATAGGCTAGGACAGTGTTTCTCAACTGTGGCATATTTATGACGCATGGACTTCAACTCCCAGAATCCCAGCTTTGCTTGAATGATAGGAAGTGTCCCTGGCTGGGAAATTCTTGGAACTAAGTCCATGCATCTTAAAGTTGCCACGGTTGAGAAATACTGGGTTAGGGAAATTTGGAGGTTAAGAAGAAAAGGAAGTTTACACTGGTATTCCAAAGGCAGGTAGAACTATTGGAAGCTCCATGCATATAATCTCTGCTATAATCAGGGCATTGCTAAATCAGGGTAGAACTAGGTGCTTTCTGCACACCTAAGTTATATATACTGTATACAACAGAAAAAATTGGCCAAGAAGGTGTGCCAAAAATGTACTCTTTTTGCCTTTAATAGCCTGATATAAAAATTTAGAGAATGCTCTAAAAAGTGTTGCTGTTTTAATGGATCCCAGCAGCTTGAATAGAAAATGTTCAATCATTTACTTGGATTTTTAAAGAAAAAAATATTAAAAACCCACTCAGAAATCCCCTTTGCTCTGTCAATTGCATTTCTAAGAAATAATTCAGGTTTGAGAACTTCTAAGTTGTCCAAATAGTATTCAATGGGCTCTAATAGTATGTTATTATGAAATAGTTTATGGGGAGAAACCTAAGCTATCAGATTTTCCTGTAATAGTAAAAATAATCAATGTAAAAAATATATGAAAATGTCTAGATATATGAGTTCTTAAGTAAAAAGCAAAATTCTCATTTAGAGAAATGCGTCCATGAATATGAAGAAAAGGAGCAAGTTATAAATGCTGAGATACAATGCTTAAAAGAAAAACTTTCTATAGAAGAACAGAAAAACCAAAAACAAAAGAAGATTTTTAAGGTAAAAAAAAGATTAAGATAACTAAAGGTTTGTTGTGTTCGTTTATAAGTGTGTAAAATTCAGTATGTATTGAGCACCCTCTGTGTGTTGCTGAAAACTATATGTTATTCTATATAGTTTTCTATCTGGAAGAAGGAGTCCATATTTCCCATGACTTCTGGCACTCAGTGGAATTCAGTGCCATCAGATATGGTATCTGGACCCTGCAAGGATCAATGCAAGTCATTGTTTTACAATGGTTCTGCTGCTATCTGAATAGATGATGCCATTCTTTAGTTGATCCTCTCTACCACATGGAGCTTGGCTCTAGATTCTAGCTGTTTAATATCTACATGAGATTTTTGAGACATTATCTGTCAGTTTGGGGTGTATAATAATCACTATGCTGATGACACTCAATTATACATTTGGAAATGGCATAGATATTCTGGTCAAATGTCTAGAGGCTATGAGGGGCCAAATAGGTCAAAACAAGCTAATTCCTGGAAGATGGAATTATTACTTGTGGGTGATGATTGAAATTTGATGCCACCCTATAGCAGTGATGGCGAACTATTTCGGCACCAAGTGGGACCGTGTTCCGGAAAAGCTGAACTTCCAGGTTCTGGCGCACATGCCCACCCAACAATCAGCTAGCCGGTGCACGTGCACAGGCTGTTTTTTGGCACTGCCACGTGCACGAAGGGATCACACTCCAGAAAAATCGAACTTCTGGATTCTATCGTGCATGTGCACCCAACAATCGGCTGGCACGCATGCACAGGCTGGTTTTTGGCACTGCCGTGCATGCAAAGGACAGCTGATAGTTGCGCGCACATGCCAAAAACCCAGAAGAGAAACAGGCAACATGCCACTTTGGGCACGTATGCCATATGTTCACCATCATGGCCGTATAATAATACCTTGACCTTGAGATTTTGGAAGACAGCTCTATCTGCTTGCATTTCACATGATGATGCATAGTGTTATTATTTTCTTCTATATAAAATTATAATTATATTAAGTAGGATAGCAGAGAAATGCTGTTATAACTGTAAATAAATAAATGGAAGCCTGAGCAAATTGTCACATGTGAAGGGTACAAGTCTTAAATATTATATTTTTCAAGTGGAGGGAAAACTTATTGTTAACGGTCATATTTTATTTGTATTTTTGTTGACACCCACTTCAGGAAACTTCAGATGATATGAATCAGAAGTTACTCAAATTCCAAGAGGAGGTAGCTAAAGAGAGAGAGATACTAGAGACAGAATTGAAAGAAGCCATGGATGAGCTGGATAAATTGCACGCTAAAGAATCTAAAGTTGAGAAGCTTTTAAATCATTTGGAACATGCTAATGAATCCCAAAATGAGGAGTTATCACAGCTGGAAACAAAACTGCAAAGGTTTGTAGAAAAGCAGGCTGCTATTGAAATTATCTGTGTCAATTAGCTAATAGGATTATAGAATAGATTTATTTATTTGAAGCTTGTATTCTCAGATCTCTTCTGAATGTTCAAATCCTTTTGGAAAGAATTGGAGTATCTGTGCTAAGAAGGAATATAATTTTCCCATTGAAGAAGCAGAAGTATAGCTATGAACTAATGGATAATATCCTTCTCATAAATGGTAGACAATGTAGTGCATGGCTTGTGATCCCAGGTTTCTCTCTAGAGATGCCCAAAGTTTTTACCAAAATGTAAAGTTTTATATGACAGGGAAATAAAATGAATAAATATGTGAGTAAGAAATAATAATGTTAACATTTTTGGTTTAAATTAAACAGGTTATTGAAAATTAAGGATGAGTCAAAAGATTTTGTATTGGCTTTTCTACCTTTAATCCTCTTATGTTGCCCAAATGTTTCAAGCTATTTCTGGGGTTTCACAGATCTCCATTCCTATCCATTTAAGTGTGAACTAATTAAATCAAACTTAAAGGAATAGTCCTACTCCCTTATTCGGTTTGTCGCTTCCAGTTCAATCCGTAGATTTTGGAGTGCTAAAATATTAACTGTTTAATATTATTACTTTGTCTAGGAAAAGTGCAGAGTTGGAAGAAATGGCTGCATCACACAAGAATATCACTGAAAAGCTTCAAGAGGAATATAACCAGCTCCAGTTTAAATTTGGAGAGACCGCCACTGAATTTGAAAAGTATGTCAGTACCAGGATTGGAAGGGTCTTATTTGTTTGATATTGGGAACTCTTTCCATAGTCTGGAAGTAGTCATCTGTTTCAGAGTAACTATATAGAAACAGAGGAATCAACATCTTGTACTGTGTTTCTTTGCTTTAAGTAGCAAAGGCTCACTGAAGTGAACAAATTTCACTTAAAAAATGAATAAGATGTATTGTTTCCCTTTCTCTTAGTACAAGAGAAAGACATACATGAGCTTTGGGATAACCCTTTGTATCTGGATGGTGGGTAAAAACTTAGCATAAAGATGTTAGAGGTGCTAAGAGTACTATGCACAAGTCAAAAGAAATGCAAACTTAAAATCTTTCTTAGTTACAAAGTCTGCATGACTCAAGAGATTACATGCCTGAAACAAGACAAAGCTATTTTGGAGGAGAAATTAACTGAAATGAGTAGAACAGTCGAAAATGTGACTCATGCAATGCAAGAAGAACAGCATGCAAAAGAAGATTATATGAGGTATGGACAGTTGGGAAAATTTGCCGAGAAAATTTGACTACAAAGACTTGTATTTGGTGTTTTGTGGCATTTATAGAATCAGATAACTGAAAGAGATAGTATAGTTCATCAAGTCCAACAACTTTCTTTATATAGGAATTCAAATTAAAAGTGTCAGTGACAATTGGATACCCAATCTCCATTATGTATTCAGTGAAGAGAGGCCCACATTCCTATCTTCCTAACTGATTCTGTTGTCAAACTGCTATGACTATGATTGGAACTTTCCCCCCAATATTTGTGTTCTGGTTTCTGGCTGCTTAGAATTATGTAGTTTCCATCAAAATACTAGTTTGTAGAAAATTCTAATTTCTATCAAGTTTATTTTGGATTAGTTTAAGAAATGAATAAAATACTTAGAGAAGATTTTTCTGTATTGATTCAACCAGAAAGTTTGCAGGTTGAGTGGAAATTTTATAAAAAATATGTATCTCCTTTCATCTCCAGCTCTGCAGTAGATGAATGATATATTGCTGAATTAATATCTATAATGATTTCAATAGCAAAACATATAGATCAGCAGAAGAGTAGCAGATTTTAGACTGTAGGATTTGCTTTTATAGAAAGACAAATAAATAAAAACCCTAGGATTTATATCCAACATCCAGGGTGCATTATAAAAAGACACAACAAACATTTGGGATTCGTTTTGTCTATTAGTGTAGCTTTTTTCTGGAAAGATGTTTTCCAGTATTTGAGTTATATTAATTTTAGCAGTATAATTTAGACTTGGAATTTTTATTATTTCTGATCTAGAGATTGACCTACCTTTTGCCATTTATGGCATAACATGTAGCACATTCTTTTTTTAGGCTAAAACTTTGCCTATTTCCAACCATACTTAAAATTACTGAGAATTTCTCATTTTTCTTCTCCCTTTAAGGACGCTTCTTGACAGTCAAACAAAAATAGCACTAAAAGATGCAGAAATAGACGAAATCAAGGAATTGAGCACTATGCAAATTGCTAACCTACAAGCCAAACTGGAGCAACAAAGTGAAGAACTGAACAAAAAACTTGAAATAGAAAGGTGAGCTTCAGCTGTCTTGTATGGGAATTTCAGATGAAAATACTTTGAGTCTTGGGGAGAAAAAGAATGAGTTCTGTTCACATTTTAAAAGAAATCACATTCTAGGCATCAGAGCAGCAGTGAGCAACCTGGGACACTTTGAGATGAATACCTGATTCCCCCGCCCCCCCATAAAGTTTAATATTATCAAAGTCCCTGCATTAAAAAATCATAAACTGATTTGAGAAGCTTTGGCATACAGAGAGAAATATAAATATATTAATTAAAGGAAAGTTATCATTTGCTGTCATCCTATTTCTAGAGAGTAGGGAAGAGGGGAGAATAAAGGGGATGTCAGAAAAAAAGGTAGTAGTAGAAGAAGAAAAAACCTTCAAAAGTGAAAATATTGTCTTATCCCATTGACATGCTGTGTTCCAAAAGAATGTGATCCCAGAGAGAACGGCTGCCTGTATAAAGAGAGATATTTGGAAAACGTATCCAATATTTTTTATTTCTAGGAAAGCCATTAAAGAAACAATTGGAGCAGATTACAAAAAGAATATAAAAACTTGGCGTGCGCTCTATGAAGACCTGTCTAATAAAGTAAAACCTTTTCAGGTTAGTCCTTAATAAGCACTGATGAGTTTGGGCAGGTTTTGATAACTTATTACTTTGGAACTCCAACACCAACCTGGATTTTTGATTATGTCTTGGATGCTCCCATGCTTTTAATACTACAAATGTCCTGTATTGTTGGATGGCACTTGCAGTGAATTGGTTATTATGGTTCATTGCACAGTCAACTAGATGTTCAGTCTGGATTTGGCATTTTTATCCTATCCTATCAAATTTTTCCCAAGGACCTGGAATAGGCAGATGTTTGATAATGTTAAAGATATCATCACAGGATGTAAGCTGTTCCAAGTAAAGCTGCCTTTTGCAATTGATTGATGGTGATTTTGTGGTGACACTACCTTGAGCAGAGATACTTAACTGGTATTCCAGTTCTTTTGGGATTGTACTCAAAGAGCTTATTTACCACTGGTACTACCTTTGCTTTATTTGGCACAGACATTCTCTTTCCATTTGAAGGTGTTTGTATTTTGTTATCTTCTCCAGTTGTTATTATTATTTAAACGTAGGTATAGTGTGATGGTAGAAGACTTTCATCACAAACATGTGCTGAAGAGCAATTCTTCCTATATCATTGGTAATTGTACTATCTGGGGAGTGAGGGACCGTTCTGAAAGGTGAGAAGGGTAGCACAACTGAGAAAGAGATCACCTCATCCTCGTTTTATGGATTCTGTGAGTCAATCAGGGACATCAGTTGAAATTTGGTCATCATTATTCAACATCTATTTTACTTTGCATTTCAGCAACAGTTAGATGCATATGAGGCAGAGAGAAATGCCCTTCTAAATGAGCATGGTGCAACCCAAGAAGAACTGAACAAAATTAGTGATGCTTATGCTAAGTTGTTGGGCCATCAGAATCAGAAACAGAAGATCAAACATGTAATGAAACTGAAAGAAGAGAACACCCAACTAAAACAGGTCTGCTATTCCATGAAGGACACAGATTTTATGTTTATCTGTGATAGGGAGAGACAGAAATATCAAAGGATATGTAAATCACCAAGATGCCTCTGTATGTCTGTTAAGTGTTGGAGAAAACTCAAAATATGATGCCAAATTGATATATTTGTGAGTAAAGAACATCTGTTTAGCAATAGCACTTATTGACAGCATTTAGATTTACTCCGTAGTTTTACAATGTCAGCATATTGCCCCCAACAATCTGGTTCCTCATTTTATCGACCTTGAAAGGCTGTTAACTTTGAGCCCATCAGGACTGAATTCCAGACTGGGCAAAATTAGCCTGCAATACTACATTCTAACTATTGTGCTACCAGGTTCCTAATATATGATTTAACAACTATTTGTTAAACAGTTATGAAACAATCAAACATATGCTAAAGGTAGAGTTTCTGTCCATCCCCATCAATTAGCAGGGAGTAAAAGCCAATCTTCATGGAACTTTATTGGTAATAAAACCCACAGTTGGTAAAAGTGAGTAGAAAAATGAGGATCAAGACAGCATCTAGTAACTGGATGAAAAAACATGCCTCAAATTAATTGTCAAACACTATGGAAAGGAAAACAGAAACAAAAAGGGATAGACAATTAATTGAATCAGGAAATTGAACAATTTATAATATATGCCTGAAACTGGATTGAGTTTGGAAGGGTGGAAGTGATAATCAAGAACCATGTCTCATATAAATAAATACTATAATATAATAGGACTAGACAAAATTTAGGCTGATAAAACAGACTTAAGAAAATAAAGCATAGTTTCAGCCTCAAACATAGCTAATTGCATGCATTCTTCTATGAATGTTTTTTTTCTTTCTTCCCTAGATTTAGTTGATAAGAAAGAAAAACCTTTCATTCTTTGAATTAAAGATTTAGCCACTCTTTTCTCCTATTAAATGTGCCTTTCTTATAAATCTAAGCAAATACCTATTCTTGGCTTCTTGCTAACTGCAAAGTTTGCACAAACTGGCTCCAAAACATTTGGATTAGAACATGGCAGTTTTGATATGTGATGAGATATGACAAATGAAAGACATATGTCATGAGTGTTTTGAACCTCAAACAGTATTACTCAGATTTTTGGTGGAATTGATCAGGGGTCATACATTGTCATGTTTGCAATATCTGAAATTTATTTTGCATTGGGATGTTTTCTTTTAGGACGTATTAAAGTTGCGTGTCCAAGTAGCAAAGGAAAAACAAGCAAGGGAAGACCTCCAAGATCAAATTAATGAAATTCAGGGTGTTAGACAGTTTGATCCTTCTAAAGCTTTTCAGCATCCTAGCAAGGAAAATGTTGCTCCCAAAACACCTTTTAAAGAAAGTGAGTATTTATTTATTTATCTTCCATAAACATTAACAACTTAGCCCTGGGGAATTAGTTTGATGTATACATCAACCAGCAGAGTAGCTTTAATATGTTTATTCTTTGTATTTATTGTTTTACTGATGCTTAATTAACTAATTGGTGGCAGTAATTCCAGTTATTGAACAGATCAGAAATGCAATGAATCTTTTGTAATTATAATAATTTCAATTAACTTATTTATTTAACAGATAACAGAAGCAAAAATCAAGCTATTCTACACTGATCAAGAACAACTTCACACTTGAGAGCTTCATCTTTCCAAGAAAGTATTGTCTACTGCCTTGTGTGCTTCAATCTATATTTCTACAATAGAAAGTTTTCTTTAACTATATATTTTAATAAAGCAAGTAATTAGTACTTTTAAATTATCTAAAATACAAATGGCGACAGCAATTCTAAAACTATCAATAGGGCACAATTATCAAACATTTAAGTGAAAGCCATAATTTTTGTAGCTGACAAGACCTAAATAAAACCTCTTTAGATGCCTATACAGGGTATGTTACATAGTTAAACTTTTGACTTTTGTGCAGTATTTTAGAAATTGAAACAGTTGCTTCAATGATCATAAATAGCTCAGAGTTATTGAAGTTTTTAGCCTTTAAATGTGCAGCTCATAATTTCCTTTTTTAAAATATGCTAATTGATATTTTTGCTTCTGAATTGAACTATGCATGATTCTGATATTTAAAGATTATTTGTATTAGGTTACAATGGTAATTCGTTTTATTATTGGCTTATTTTATTAAAATAAATTTGAGACTCACAATCACTAGATGCTTTCCTGACTCATATTTTAATTTTAGGATATGTAACTGTTATGTCCTTTAGTTTCCTATTTGTTATCTATATCTTCTATAGACAGAACAAACTGGGAAGTCAGCTTCCATCAGCAAAACAAGGCAATTTTTCCCCATCTTCAATTTGACTACCCCTGGGAAATTCTTTATTTTCACAATACTGATGGTGCTAAGTTTATTACTAACTTCACTTTGGAACTTATTGCATTTCCATAAGGACCCACAAGCAGCCTTTGAGGATCTCTCCAGGACTGGATGTGATATATGTTTTCAATATGTTGAAGGTTGAATTTCTTTGGATATGCAATCCATTGATCAATAAATTTATACGGCCACCCATCTTACAAGAAGTGACTCTGGGCAGCAAATGAGAAAAAACAGCATAAAAACAATAAATGTCAATAATGATAATAATTTCAAACTTGTAATGGCTTGTCTTCCAGATTTTACTGTGCAATTTCTGTAAGCTAGCTAATAACAAAGTAAATTTAATTTAGAGCTACAAAAATCTTGCCGGCAATCAGATTGCAACCTTGCTTTAACCGTTTCAAATAAGTGAAAGCTAAGGCCAGAAATTAGACAGCAATTTCACTTTCAATTGGATGTAAAAGAACTCGCCAGGTTCCTTTTTATCTGCGCATTAAAGCAACCTACTTTGAACTGGGTGGCAAGTTTGTGCATGTCGTTTTTTACGCATATTTTCCACGGCTTTTAGTACATGCCTATCACACGTTACCTCATTTTGCAAAGATTTCTGGGCTTGGAGAATAAAGTCAAGTCTGCCTTGCATACTAAACCAGTAGTATTGTGTTACACTGACTTAAATGCTTTGAGGCAAAGAACAAGAAGAAATTCAGTTCATGGGGAGCCGGGGTCAGGATGTTTTCATGGTTTTGGTTTTCTGTCCCCTGCAGCGCTAATATTTCCGGGATAGGAAAATGTACAAAGAGCGGCCCCTGCCTGTTTCTTTGGGGGAGCGTTCTAAAACAGTCCAGTTCAGAAAGTTTATCAGCCCCCAAAGAAGCCAGCAAAGGTTTCGCGGAGACGGGAAAACTGGGTCGGGCTTGCCCTGCACCCCCACCCCCGCCATAGCGCACGCCGTCCGCACGTCCGCAGTGAGGCGCTCCTTCTGAACCCCGCCTCCCGCGGAAGAAAGGACCAATCCGCGGCTCGCCTGGAGGAAAGGGGTGGGCTTTGGGCGACAGCCGCCGTCACAGTCTAGCTGAACGCGGGCGGCGGCGGCGGCGCCTACGAACCAAGGCAGGAGGGATGGTCGGGTGGGAGAAAGGGCTCCGCATCCATTTTGAGCCGGGGAGCTGCTGGCTCGAGGAGGTGAGGAAGGATTCACAAGACGTTCCCCCTCCATCACCACCCTTGTCCTCTCCGCTGGCTTTTCTGTGGTAAACAAACTAGGCGCGCCTCCTCTGCGCCGCCTCGCCCTTCTTCCGGCTCGGCTTTGGCGACGGTTGCCTTGCGCCCTAAAGGGGTCCTCGGGGCTGCAGATCTTGAGTTGCCTCACAGATCTCCTTCGGCGCTCCCAGAGAGTTTTCTTCCCGTGCCTGTGTTTATATGACAGTTTTCCCTTCCCCTGCTCTGAATGTGCGAGATCGGGACGCCCATAATCCCCAGCCAACATTAGTTGCCGGGGGGGTGGGGTTACAGCTTGGGGGTTTAAATCCAGCTTCAGGGTTGGAGGAACACTTGTAAACACTCGGGGGAGGAAGCGAGCGAGCTGCGGAGGGACTTTCCTTGTTCCCGTTAGTACTGTGTGGGAGGAGAGTTGTTAAATTAAGCCATTCGCACACGTGATGGTTTAAATCTACTGCTCGCTGTTGAATGAAAAATAGCCTATCCAGAGAGGCGAACAGTTAAACTGCAAATGTTGCATAAAACTAAATATTCACAGTTCCATTATCATGGGCCTAGTAAACAATCTTTCAGCGGTAATGTGCTTTTAATGAAATTCCTAAGTGGTTTTTCCCCCTCTAATGGTTGCTCTGAAGTCAGACTTGGAGGCTTTTTCTCTTGACTGAGGTGGGATAATTCATTTGCATCCCTCCTCCTCCTATAAGAATGCCTTACTTTTAGCCTAGCATGAAGTAAACATTCCTACTTCTTAAGGTGACACAAAGTAAAGAAAAATGCTGATTTTATTATTTGTCAAGTATTTGGGCTGGTTCTACTTCAAGGACAGACCTTGTGTTTGTTTAAACTAGTTTGTGTGCTTGATAGGGATATGAAATCCCATTAACCCTTTGCTGATCAGCTACATTTTCAGAGCATTTATGTCCTTGTTCCTAAGTTTACATGGAACCCCAGACAAATGTACGGATCAACAAAGGCAAGACGGAACTTGCTATCAGATCTAGCAATCTAAAAAAGACAAGTCACGAAAGGGGAAAAAAAGAGAAGAGTAAAGAAAAATACCTCAGTAACAACGTTGTATAATTCAAATAACCATTCTTTATAAGCAATTGGAATTACAATTACTGTACATCAGCTATAATACCAGAAACCTGCTAAAAGTCATTGATTTGAATGGAAATACTTTCTGGAATAATTATAAGGAAGGTAAAACTTCAGTAGGACTTTTGGTAACTGTTTTTCCTTTCTGTCTAAAGAATCTTGATAGAAAAACTACTGGTTGATAGGTAAAGAAAAGTAACCAGCCTTGGAAAGATTTTGTCTTGACAGTTTAAAGTAGAATAAAAAGAATACATTTTTTTCAATTAACCTTTTTGCAGATATCAATTTCAATCATATTCAATGAAAAGTTATAGTCATCCAAAGTATATTATCTTTCTGTATGTGTGTTAGCACTTAAACTGATCTGACTGATATTAATTTGATCCTGTTCTGTTATGACTCCATCAAATCTGTGACTACAAACTTGAGTGAAAAATGTACATAGTATGTTATCTTTGATATTTGAACTTTATTTACCACACAGATTATTATTGTAGCTGCTATTCTGTGGCTTATGTTCAATGGGATGTGTAAAAATAAGGGAAAGAGATATGCATGAGGAGCTTGCAAAAGTTCTGGGAAAAACACTGATAATTTTATATGACTACAGACCATATTTTCTTTTTCATTTTTTAGGAAGATGTGGATATCCCAAATAGACGTGTCCTAATTACTGGTGCCACTGGACTCCTTGGCAGAGCTGTTTATAAAGAATTTAAAGCAAATCATTGGCACACTCTTGGCTGTGGCTACAGTAGAGCTCGACCTTTGTTTGAACAAGTTAATCTTTTAGATTCTGCTGCTATTCACAGTGTAATCCAAGATTTTCTGGTGAGAATTTAGGAAAGGAAATGTTTCTCATATTGTTCAGAATTGCTAAATAATTTAACTGGTTTTCCAAAATATTAGAATATACTATTCATTAGGTATTCTGCTTTTAAACAACTGGGACTTTATTTTTTTTTAAATGCTTTAATTAGAAAAAAAATGGTACTGCAGAAAATACCGTATTTTTCAGAGTATAAGACGCACCGGAGTAAAAGATGCACCAAAGTATTGAAGAGGCAATTTTTTTAAAAAAGTAGGTAGGTAGATACAGGGATAGAGAGGGAGAGAAATAGAGAGAAATATAGTAGGTAGAGAGAGAGAGGGAGAGAATAGGTAGGTAGGTAGGTAGGTAGGTAGGTAGATAAAGGGATAGGGAGTGAGAGAAAAATAGAGAGAAATACAGTAGGTAGGTAGGGTGAGAGAGAGTGTAGGTAGGTAGATAAGTTGGTAGAGGGACAGAGTGAGAGAAATAGAGAAATACAGTAAATAGATAGGGAGAGAGAGAGTAGGTAGGTAGAGGGAGAGAGAGAAATACAGTAGGTAGGTAGGGAGAGAGAGTAGGTAGGTAGATTAGAGGGAGAGAGAGAGAGAAATACAGTAGGTAAGTAGGGAGAGAGAGAGTAGGTAGTTAGGTGTTTTCAGGTGTATTTATCCATGTGCTGGAGAAGGAAATCTCTGACAATCTGCAGCATCTAAGACTTTGTTTCTGCTGGTCCAGCACTTGATCAATGTAATTCTCATCAATCAGTTAAAGAGCTTTCCAAAAGGGAAAAAAAAGGTTTTGCACTCTAAAAACCTCCCAAAATGGCCCATTTTTCGCAAAAACGAGCCCTTTTAAAAAAAAAAAAAAGAATAGTTTTAGGGGAGCAAAAATGAGCAAAAAATGGCCCATTTTTCATGAAAACAGGCCCATTTTTTGTCAAAAAAAATTGCATGCATAGCCTTATGAAGGCTTATAGATGCTGCTCGTGGCTAGGCGGCAAAAATGGCTTGTTGTTTGCTCATTTCTGCTCCCCAGCCTCCAGGAGCGCTCTGAAAGCTTCCATAAGGCTATGCACTGGCATTTTGGTGAAGGGGGCAGGGCTTCGGGAGGCAAAAAAGTGGTGTATTCGATGTATAAGACGCACCAAGATTTTCA